GTTGTATTTTGGTAAGGCAAACCAGGGCAAGACTTATACAGTTGTTGGTAGCACTCTGGGGAATGTTGCCAAACAAATAGACCTAGGGGTGCAGGTGCATAATTCCTTGAAAGTGAGTCACAGGTAGACAGGGTGGTGAAGATGATGCTTGGCATGCTTGCCTTCATTGATCAGTGGATTGAATATAGGAGTTGGGATGTCATGTTGCGGCTGTACAAGAAATTGGTGAGATCACATTTAGAATACTGCGTTCAATTCTGGTGTCCTTGCTGTTGGAAAGATGTTAAACTTGAAAGAGTTCAGTAAAGATTTACAAGGATGTTGCTGGGTTTGGAGGGTTTGAGCTATAGGGAGAGGCTGAATAAGCTGGGTTTTTTTCTCTGGAGTGCTGGCAAGGTCTTTTTCCCAGGCTAGGGGAGTCCAAAACTAGAGGACATACGTTTAACGTAAGAGGGGAAAGATTTAAAAGGGACCTAGGAACAACGGTTTCTCCCAGAGGGTGGTGCATGTCTTGAACACGCTTCCAAAGGAGATAATGGAGGTGGATATTATTATAACATTTAAAAGGCGTCTGGATGGGTACATGAATAGGAAGGTTTAGAGGGATATGAGCCAAATGCTGGGAAATGGGTCTAGATCAGTTAAGGATATCTGGTTGGCCTGGACAAGTTGGAACGAAGGGTTTGCTTCTGTGTTGTATGACTCAATGAGGTCTGGCAGCATCTGTGGAGAGAAATCAGAATTAACGTTTCGGGTTCAGTGACCCTTCATGAGAACAGTGTGTTCAGTCTGTCAGTTATATGTATGTAATGTGCAGTAACATTGGTAAGTAGAGGATCCAAACTGTATATAGAGATGCAGAAAGGTTATTTCCCTTGTGGAACAGTCCAGTAGCAAAGTGCATAAGCTCAAGATTATGAGATTATTCTGAGATTAATCTCAGAATAAATCAGATTATATAAAGAGAACATTTAAAAAGAAATGAGGAGGAATTTCTTCTCCAAGGGTTGTGAATCTGTGGAATTCTTTTTGTCAGAGGGCTGTTGAGGCTGGGTCAAGTGTATTCAAGATTAGAAGTCACATGACACCAGGTTATAGTCCAACAGGTTTATTTGAAAGCACAAACTTTCAGAGTGTAGTGCCTTTGTCAGGTAAAGTGAGAAAGAAGCACACAGACACAGAATTTAATGGCAGACAGAGATCAAAAGACTGCACAAATGGTGTGTGAAGTGCCAAATAATAAAACTGTACAAACTAATTAAGGTAGAGAGATCATAACAATTTATCCAGGTGATGGTGACAAAACAAGATAGTAAGGAAGATTTTACAGATACAGTACAGTGTGGTGGAGTCACAGGTAGCGCAATATGAACCCAAGATCACGGGTGAGGCCGTCTTCATGGGTATAGAACTTAGCTATCAGTTTCTGCTTGGCAATTCTGCATAGTTGTGTATCTCGAAGGCCACCTTGGAGGATGCTTACCTGAAGATCAAGGGCTGAATGTCCTTCACTGCTTAAGTTTTCACTGACTGGGAGGAGCATTCCTGTCTGGTGATTGTTGCACGGTGTCCATTCATCTGTTGTCATTGGGTAAGTATCCTCCAAGACGGTCTTCGAGATACACAACAAGGCAGAATCGTCGAGCAGAAACTGATAGCCAAGTTCCGTCAAGAGCTGAGTTAGTTGCTACACTGTTTCTAGTCTCTGACCTACTCACTGTATTTATACGGTGAGTCCAGTTCAATTCTGGTTAATCCCCTTGAATGTCAAGGGGCGGTGGTTAAATGTCTCTTATTGAAGATGGTCATTGCCTGGCATTTGTGTGCCGCAAATGTTAGTTGCTACTTATCAGCCTAAGCCTGGATATTCTTCAGGTCTTGCTGTATTTGGACATGGACTGCTTCAGTTTCTGAGCAGTTACAAATGGTGCTGAACATTGTGCAATCATCAATGAATCATCCCTGTTTATAATCTTATGACCTAATGACCTTATGTCCTTACATTAGGGAAGGTAATTGATGAAGTAGCTGAAGATTTTGCCTGTAGGACACTACCCTGAGGAACTCCTGCAGAAATGTCCTGGTGCTGGGGTGACACACCTCCAACAACCACAATCATCTTCCTATGCACCAGGAATGACTCCAACCAGTGCAGACTTTTTCCTCTGATTCCCATTGATTTCAGCTTTGCTAGGGCTTCTTGGCCACAATGGCCTCAATGTCAAGGGCTGTCATTCTCACCTCATTTCTGGAATTCAGCTCTTTTGTCTGTATTTGAATCAAGGCTGTACTGAGGTCTGGAGCCAAGCAGCCTTGGGGGAACCCCAGTTGGGGAGATGCTGCTTGAAAGCACTGTTGATGACATCTTCCATTACTTCACTGATGATCAAAAGTAGACTGATGGGGCAGTATTGGCCAGGTCAGATTTTTCCTGCTTTTGAGGAAGAAGGAAATGCATTAAAAATTAAACTGAAATATAAATTTGCAAGGCTGTAAGATAGAGCAGGGGAATGAAACTGACTCAATTGCAGCGAAGACAGTCGACATGGACTAAACAGGTCTTTGACTTTCTTTTGTGCTGTCATGACTGTAGATTTTTTAAATCAACCTGTTCAGATACCTGTAGAACCCAGGCTGTGTGACACAAAGGTGGAACAATATCACTGCCCTGCAACAGCCCTTTTACACAATGTGACTGTATGACCAGAAGGATATGTTGACATGATTAAAGGAAGACATGTTGAAGGAAGCTTATGTGTTGCATACATAGCAGCAAGGCCCTGCTAGGGTAATGACCTGTTCCACTGCTGTTAAAAGAATATACAATGCAAATATTGTAGCATTACTTCATTTGTGTTCTTTTTGCTTTTGTCTAAAATCTTACAAATCAATAAATATTAATTTCATTGCATTAGTAATGATTTCAAGATCTGTCATTCATTATTTTAAAAAAAAGAGAAAGTAGTTGGATGTCCACTGTATTTCTGGTGCATTGCAATTTAACGATAGGTCCGTCCTACATTCACCTGCCAAACAAGGTTACAGAGTCATAGAACAAAAAACAGAAATTGCAGGAAATGCTCAGCAGGTCTGGCAGCAGCTGTGAAGAAAAATCAGTGTTAATGTTTCAGGTCCAGTGACCCTTCTTCAGAAGGCAGCCCATTCCAGACTCTCAGTACCCTCTGTGTAAAAAAATTAGCTCTCTGGTCTCTTTTGTATCTCTCTCCTCTCACTTTAAAACTATGCCCTCTAGTTTTAGACTCCCCTACCATGGGGAAAAAACTGTTGGGTCTCTACCTTAACTATGCCTATAATGATTTAATAGACTTCTGGGCATTCCAGGGATAAAACTCCCAGCTTATCTAGCCTGTCCTTATAACTCAAACCTTCCAGTTCAGGTAGCATCCTAGTAAATCTTTTCTGAACTGCTTCTAGTTTAATAATATCCTTTCTAGAGTAGGACAACCAGTACTCCACATGTAGCCTTACCAACATCTCGTACAGCTGCAACAAGACTTCCCAATTCCTATACTCAGTGCTCTAACTGATGAAAGCAAGCATGCCAAAAGCTGCCTTCACAATCCCGTCTACCTGTAATTTGACTTTCAAAGAGCTATGAACCTTTACCCCGAGATCTTTGTTCTAATGACACTCCCCAGGGCCCTACCGGTGACTGTGTAAGTCCTGCCTGGTTTGAACTACTAAAATGCAATACCTTGCATTTATCTAAATTAAACTTTATCCACCATTCTTCAGCCCACTTGCCCAGTTGATCAAGATCTCGCTGTATTCCCAGATAACCTTCTTCACTGTGCACTATATCACCAATCTTGGTGTCATCTGCAAACTTACTAACCATGCTTCCTAAATTCCCATTCAAATCATTTATCCAATCCTTGTGGCACACCGCTGTTCACATGCATCCCGCTTGAAAAACAACCCTCTACCACCAACCTCTGTCTTCTCCCTTCAAGCCAATTTTGTATCCAGTTGGCTAGCTCTCTCTGGATCCTGTGAGATTTAACCTTACTCAACAACCCACCATGTGGTACCTTGCTAAAGGCATGCTAAAGTCCGTGTAGACATCTACCGCACTGCCCTCATCTACTTCCTTGGTCATCTCTTCAAATTCATGAGACACGATTTCCCACACACAAAGCTATGCTGACTATCCTAAATGAGTCCTTGCCTCCTCAAATGCCTGTAGATCTGTCTCTCAGAATCCCCTCTAACAATGTCAGGCTCAACGTTCTGTAGTTCCCAGACATTTCTCTACATAATGGCACATTAGCCACCTTCCAATCTTCAGGCACTTCATCCGTGGCTGTCGATGATGCAAATATCTCCGGTGGGGGCCCCACAATTTCCTCCCAAGCCTCCCACAAAGGTTAAATGAAGAGGAGGTATCATCTGCTGAAAGAAATTTACATTTTACTGTTAACAGTAGGAAACAAAAAAACTGCCTAATCAAAGCTTAAGAACAATTTCGAGGGTTGACTTGCCGCGAACACTATCAAGCAAGATCACAGAAGATTTTACAATAAGTATTTCAAGTGCATGTGAACGAATTGAAACAAATCACCTGGATGGACTTGCTATGCAACACATCACCCTTGAAGCAACAGTAAAAAAGTGAATGGACGGATTATTGTCCGGTTCTCGTGGCAATGAAGCTGTAGCCAGGGCACGAGTTATAAGCTTGGGGTTTCAAAACACGTTATTTTTCACAAATCGGAAGAAATCAACAACCTGATGGAGGGAGAAAAAAACTCCATCTCGTGCTGAATAATATCGCTTTGGCAGACACAAATGTGGTAAACAGATGCGAGATCGGGGACCGAGCTTAACCAGGAGTAAGAAAGCAGCAATGCCGAAGAGCTGCGTGCTTCAGCTGCTCATTCCAGGGATGTCCCGGTGCCAGATGTTATTGATTGGTTAGCGCGCGCGTCACCGCCTGTAGCTTATACATTGGCGCTGGCTCTGTCACTCCCATTTCTCTCTACCCGGGGATAGGCTGCTCTGCCTGGGAATCACAGCAACTAGAGGTCGGCCATAGAACATAAGTATGGCGGCTATTATAAGGAGGTCAGGCAACTTGTCCCTCAAGTATAGCAACTATGTTCGCCACCATGTTGGTAAGGCTTCTTGCTTATTTCTTTTCTTGTGTACTTTTGGTTTGCATTCGTGGAAACGTTGATGCTGAGCGTGAAGGCTTTACAGGACCTGTCCGACAACGTTCCTTTAGGAGCCAGAGTGGAAGCTGCAATAACTTAAAATATGTTTCTGTTTTTTCTCTCCCTCAGCCCGCCCCCATTGTCACCTGTAGAGAAATACTCCGACGGTTTTAACTCACTTCAGTAGAAGTTGGAAGGGCGGGCTCCACTTATCGAAGTTTTTCTCACATATATCTTAACTCATACATGTGGATTGTTGTACACTAGTTGATTTTTCTTTGGTGTTGTTCATCCATTTGCAAAATAACCAACGACATTTGTACAACAGGTTTAAAAAAAAAGCCTTCCAAAATTGTAACATTTCTAAGTGTAACTTTTGGCATCAGATGTTTGGTCTTGATGGAATTTATATCATCTTGCATGTTGAAAATAAAATTCAGTTGTGAAACATGCTTGGAGTTCTTCAAATATAGAATTGTATTAGGCTTGTTGGGATGTTTTGAATTTGACAAATTTTCAGAGTACGATTTGTATTTTTAAGCAATTGACTGTGCTGCAGTTGACTCTGACTGCAGCAAACAGATGCTTGTAGTTCTCCAACATCTTGGCCAAGGACATTAATGATGTGCTTGTCTAGACAAATATTAATAAAGGGTGATGGAAGACAGTTGTGTGTTTTACCTCCTTTCCTAATCCTGCACCTTAAAGCTGACAAGTTCAATTCAATTCATTGTATTTTACCTCCTTGTCAAGGTCCTGTTTCCACTGTTTTAACCAATTCCAGGTGTACCTCTGCTCCCACACTTTGGTCTTTTTAGCTTTCTTTTGCTTCCTGAAATTTATAGAAGTATCTTCAGTTGGAGCATCCTGATGTTTTAGGACTTCCTTCCTTTTGTTGCTGTGCTATTTTTAAAAATGAGTTTTCAGCCAAGATTTTGATAAATTTGCAGAATAGCTATGTGTTTTTTAAACTTAAATATTTTTCGGGGGCTTTCTATGTTCAATGCATGATATTGGCTTTTTTTTTAAAAATCCTGCCTTGAACCTGGTTATGTCCATATGTGGCCTTTTCCAACTGTTTGGGTTGTAATCAGGAGCCTCTGGTGCTAGGGGCATGGATAGGAGTTTTAGTACTGAAAACTTTGCCCCAACTAAGGTCAATTGGTGATTGACCAAGGTTGGCACCTTTTTTATGCCAAATGCTTCTTAAAATTTTTATGGAATTTTTTTAATAGAATCCCTACAGTGTGGAAACATGCCCTTTGGCCCAACAAGTCCACACTGATCCTCAGAGCATTCCCCCTTTTAACCCACCTAATCTAGGCATCCCTGAACGCTATGGGCAATTTAGCATGGCCAATCCACCTAGCCTGCACATCTCTGGACTGTGGGAGGAAACTAGAGCACCTGGAGGAAACCCACGCGGACATGGGGAGAATGTGCAAACTCCACACAGACAGTTGCCTGAGGGTGGAATTGAATCCAGGTCCCTGGTGCTGTGCGGCAGCAGTGCTAACCACTGAGCCACTGTGCTGCCCAAAATGAGGATATTTGTACATCTAACCATCCTTATCAGTAGTTATGTGAATGTTGGTCATTCAGTGCACTTAATTGTATTTACAGCACTTTTTTATGTTGAAAAATACTGTGGGAAATGGCATCTGCCACTGAGTTTCAAATAAGCTGGAATTTGTGTGGCATGAAGAATGGGAGGCGAAAGGAAATTGTTGGCAAAATTGAAGTACAAACATTAGACCAAGGTTTCTGAGGATAGACAAGTCTCATGAAATTGGATATATGTTATATCTGCTGTTGGGTTTGGAATTCAGTTTATCGTGTTGAATGGTAATACTTGATCTGTTTTAGACAACGTGAGTTTTGCTGGGGAGGGTTCAAAGTTGGAAACAAGGAGTGTAGTTTTTTGTTCAGCCCCAAAACACAAGTCTTGATCTTTAATGGCAGATACTTTTGATTACCCAATTTGAAAAAAAAATTAAGTAGTTATCATTGACATGAGAGAATGCAGCTATTTTGACAATGTTGATGGTAATCCGTTGACATTTTGGCCTTGTGATAGTTCATAACTTTGGCATGGGGCACCATGTAAATGCAGAAGAGGTCATGGGCCAAGAAAAGGTCGTCTTAGTTGAGCATAGAGGGGAATTTTGGATTGATGGAAGTATAGCCCTCACTGCAACAACTTCAGTTAGTTCAGAGTGGAACCATTGAAAAGTAGTCACAAAGCTGGAGTGTGGTGAAGATATGATGTTGGGATTGTGATGGTCAGCAGCATCAAACACTGCACAAAATCAAGATCATAGAACAAGTCATTGCTAACTAACTAGGGAGGTATTGATTTCTACTTTGGGTCAGAAGGCAGTTTGAAGGAATTCGAATGGCAAGGAATTCAGTAATGCTCGAGGACTTCCGTGGAGAAAAGGAGATCGCCTGCAACTGCAGTCACATTGGCAACTCTGTCAAGGGTACACTGAGGAGTAGGGGAGCAAGGCAGTTCTGTGTATTTGTATTCTGAAGTTGACCTGTCCTCCACTCTAGTTAATAAATAATGTTTCAAAGTATGGCAGACATCTTATCATGAGGTTTGACTTTATCACAATTTAAAACTTGGTAGCAGCATCGTATCAACCTGCATTACGTCAGTGACTGTTCCAAAAAAACGATTTAATTGTTTACTTGTTCGTTCAGATGTCCTGTGGTGAAAAATCCTATATAGATGTTACATCTTGTAAATATCTAAGTAAAAAAGTAAAACTCCATGATTTAAAACTTGTATGAAACATTAAATTCATCCTTGCTTAATAATGCAGTTTACACTTAATGCAATAAAACTACAGTTATAAATTTTACAGGACTTCCTTGAACAGCATTTTCGGAGGTAATTGGATAAATGTACCACATTGTTAAAAGTGTAGGAGAAGAGTTTTTTTGAGACATCCACCTGAAACACCATTTCCATGTACAAAGTTTCCTGGCAAAACAGTGAGGTTTTTTTAAAATGTCTCTGTTGACCTAAAAGGTCTTTGATCCCTGTTGACTTATAACATCACAGCTGTTACAGCACAGAAGGGCATGAGGCCTATCACACCTGTGTCGGCTCTTGCCAGGAGCAATTTAGCTATTGCATTCCTGTCTTCTCCCTGTAGACCTGCATGTTTCCCCCTGCCTAGATAATAAATCCTCCACCACGTTCTCGGGTCGTGCTTTCCAGATCCTTTCCACTGTGTAATGCCTAGTGGTATCCAGAATTACATACAATACTGTACTTGAGACTGAAGCAGTGCGTTGTACAGATTTCAACATAACCCATAAATCATTCTATATTGAAATAGAGCATAAAATTATAGTGGTGTGAGGGAGTCTAAAATTGCAGCATCCAAACCTTTTTCTGTGAAGAACACTTGGATGCATACTACAGTTTTTAAATACATAATACCTGTCAAATGTATTTCACCTTATAGTTACTAACACAGCTTGCTATAGTGAGTTTTGAAGATTTGTCTATCAGTCAGGTAATGGTGCTAAAACCACAATTTCCCAACTTTCTTATTCACATAATTGAAACAGAAAAAGAAGGAAGAATAGTTGGAGTATTATAAATCATTAGGTCAGATTGCTTAAGCTGATGGACCAGTTTTTTTTAAAATTGGATTTAAACTGGATTGGTGGGGTACTGCAGGGATCAATACTTGGACCCGAGCTATTCCTAAAACACGTTACATTTATAACAAAATCAGAAGTTGCTGGAAAAGCTCAGCATCTGTGAAGAAAAAACATCAGAGTTCATGTTTGGGGTTCAGTGACCCTTCCTCAGAACAGAACATTACATTTAGTTCCCTGATCTAAATAATTAATGTCTCTGTCTGCCTATGACAAAGTTGGGTGGGACGGTGAACTGTGAGGAGGATGTTGAGATGATTCAGTACAATTTATCCAAGTTGACTGAGTGGGCAAATGCATGGCAGATGGGGTGTAATGTGTCTGAATGTGAGGCCATCCCCTTCGGTAGCAAAAACAAAAAGGTGGATTATGATCTGAATGATACTTTAGGAAAGGGGTGGTGCAATGAGCTATGTCTTTGTATGCCAGTCACTGAATGTAAGCATACAATTGCATCGGGGGTGAAGAAGGCAAATGGTATGTTATCCTAAATAGTGAGAGGATTTGAGTACAAAAGCAGGGATGTTTTGCTGCAATTGTACTGGGCCCAGCAGAGACCACACCTGGAGTATTGTCAAACAAACAACTGTGGATGCTGGAAATCTGAAACAAAAATGAAATGGCTGGAGAAACTGTGACTCTGGCAATATTTGTAAAGAGAAAAAAGTTAATGTTTTGAATTCAGTGATCCTTCTTCAGAAAATGGTAGTGGCCAAAATCTTGTATGTTTTCAAGAAGGAAATAGATATAGTTCTTGGGGTTAAAGGGATCAAAAGTTATGGCATTTAAAGCAGAAACTGAGTAGAGTTAGATAATCTACCATGGTCATGGCATCACAGGCTCAAAGGGCTGAATGACCTTGTTCCTATTTTGTTTGCTCTATGATTGAGAGATGAGATTCTTTTCCACACAGTACTGTTGATAACCTGGAATAGATTCTCATGAGGTAGTGAGTACTGGTGATGAACTCCATATTTTCTCCACTTCTTAAGTGGAGTTGAGAGCTAGAAGAATGTGCAGATGAACATTTGGAATTGTAAACAAGTCACTAGAGAAATGAGAAGAGCAGAATTGTAAGATACCAAGTTGGATGAGTTGAAATTGGCTAACAGCATAAATGAGAGATCGACCTACACCTTTCCCATTTTTGCGTTTACTCCTATTTTATGTTATAGTCCTGTGCAAAGCCAAATACATTTTTGACTTTACTACGTATGAATGTAACTTGCAAAATATGAAAGGTGTCACTCTGTCATAATTAAAAAAGACTGGTCTAATAGTGTCTTCCAGATCAATGGCCTCGAAAGCCCAAGTGGGATTTATTGGTCTGGGCAACATGGGAAATCCAATGGCAAGGAACCTCATAAAGCATGGCTATCCCATTATTGCTTCAGATGTCTTCCCAGAATCGTGCAAGGAAATACAGGACTTAGGAGCACAGGTAATTCAGTGGTCTTTAATTTTGAAGAATCATGTTTGTGACAACACTTTTTTTGCTGTTTTGTGATCCGTTCCATTTCTTACTTCTCACCTTTTGAATCAATTGCAG